TAACGAGGGGTCATCGGTCGGGCGGATGATGGCGTTGGAGGCGGGGATGGGGTAGTGCGAGTGGATGGGCGCGGAGTAAGGGGCCGACATCTCCGGGTACGGCGCGTGCGTGGTCGAGGACTGCGCGGCGGCGAGGGCGGCGGCGATGGAGTTTGACGGAGAGATGTACTCGTCGACGGAGCGGGGGAGGGCCTGGTTACGGTAGGCGTCTTGCATGGTGGATGGGGGGTGGGGAAAGTAAGGGGGGGGGGGGGGGAGAGGGGGGGGGTAAGGGTGTGGACGGCTGTACTTGTAGGAGTCACGGTGGGGGTAGGGTAGGGCAGGGGCAGGGGCATGGGAGGCGTGTAGGGTGAGAGCGGTGCAAATCGGAAGACGGGAGGGGGGGCCGTAACTAAAGTGGGGTGAATGTAGTTGAGGGGACGGGGCGGGGTAGGGGGGCGGGAAAGAGGGGATGGGGGAGGTAATTGGGGTGGTTGCGTCAGGGAGTGTCAGGCGGGGGCCACGTCAGGGAGGAAACAGAAGCAACGACGTACGGTATGCGCCGTTTGACGGCATGACGTGGTGACCGACTCGAAGCAACAGGCGTTCCCGTTCGTCAGATCAGTTGCCGCACGCGGTTTCCATGACGGCCCTTCCCCTTCCCCTTCACCTCGCGTAAGCTATTTTTTCTGACCCCACCACCGCACCTTCCGCGGCCCACCCTCCACATTACAGTCGCGGCACCCGCCCGCCGCGCTTGCGCGCGCACAAGATGCCATCCCTACGATACGTGGAGCCTCGCCTTCGCAAAACGTGCACGTGCTGTACGCCGCCGGTGTCACCCGATGACACCACTGTACATGGCGTACATGCGCAACGCAGTGCCGTCGCTAAAGTGTTCACCCCTACCCCTCTCTAAAGTTTAAAGAGGGGTAGGGGTGAACACTTTTAGTTCAGGTGAACACAGTTTAGAGTCTACCCCTCTCTAAACGCTTTCCTCCCGATGATGTCGAAAATGTGCCATGCTATCGCCCCGCGCCAAGACCCCCGCCACTACCTGCCTCTCCTCTCCCGCCCCGACCGTATCTACTGTCAGGGTTACACACCCTCACCTAGGACCTCCAAACAACACATCTCCTATGACACTGACCCCGCCCGTCATCACCCGTCATCATTGCCGCACGTCCCGCCCAAGTGTCGAGCACCCCCACCACCAACAAACCACACCCTCGGCTCCGTCCCATTCTCCAATTCAAAATGCCCTCTCTAACCGCCCCGCTGATTCACCCGCCCAATTATCAAAATCCCCAGTTCCTTCAGCTGCCATCTGTGCATACAGTATCCCCAACACCGCCTCCCATCCAGAAGGAACACGCGCGCTGCGGCCCATCCCGGACTCGGGATCCGTAAGGGGTCATTACATCAGCGCTATGTTCTCAGCATGGTATGAGACGAGTACGACTTGTCGCATTTTGTGTCGCCAGCATCGCCACTCTGGACCCCATTTTAGCCCGCCCTCGCAGATGTCGCACACACCCAGCTGTGCCTCCCGTCCGAGTGTTTCTCTGCTTTCTGAAAATGGCCTTCAGATTCGCATTCAGGCGAGAGCTTGCCAGGGGTGATGCGCCAGCGGTGTCTGGAAACGGTGTCAATAGTGCACTTATATCCCAGTGACAGTGGTGGTGGGGGTGTATTCATGCAAGTTTCGTGCACTGTAGGGGGCTTCTCAAAGCAAGTTAAGCATCTTGGGGACCGGGGATCGCAGGTGTCGCTGAAAGCTACAGTACACACTATACACAGTGTGTATTACACACATGCTATACACACATGTACAGTAGTGGCGGACACGTCTTTCCTCACCCGCACGTCACGCAGACTACCCCTTGCTTTACAGCGAGAGTGCCATCTTGTGTCTTTTGCGTATGTGCTCGCCGCTGTCCCATTCCCGCATTCCAATCGTCTCAGAATTCGTGGACACGTGTGGCTAATTCAACGAAAACGAAAACATCCGCGAATTTTAAAATATTTTCGCAAAATCTTCCGCACGTCCGCCTTCCGCCTGACCGAGCCCTCCGAACCGCACCGCCATGTCTTTGACCCACTACAGAGCACCGCCTCCCTTCCCCACCACCGCGTCCTCCAGCTGCCGCTTCAGAGTAGCACAGCGACGGGCACTGCCGCCAGTCACCCAATCCCCGATACATGTCACCCCGACGCCGCCACACCCCAACGCACCCCCGGAAACATGGCCTCGCCCCCGTCCTCCCCGCCGCCGCCGCAGGACGACGATCTCTACCGCACCCTCAACGTCTCGCGCGACGCCGCTGCCTCAGATCTCAAGCGCTCGTTCCGCAAGCTCTCGCAGCTTCACCACCCGGACAAGCACCAGGAAGAGACCGCCAAGTCCGCCGCCACCGATCGCTTCACCATCGTCAAGGAAGCCTACGAGATTCTCTCCGACGACAAGCTCCGAAAGCTCTACGATGAGTTCGGCCTGCACGCAGCCAGAGTCGCTGCCTCCCACGAAATGGAGCTCGTCCCATATTCCGATCTTGCCGAGCGCTTCAGAAACGACTCTGCCCCCGGCGGTCCTTCCCCCGGATCTAACTCCCCGCGCGATGCTTACTTCACCGTCACTAATTCTTTTGAGCCCACCATCGACGCCACGGGCCTGATTGTCGCTTTGGAGGACGCTGAACCTCTCACAGCGAGTGGCCTCCCCGTTTTTTCCCAAGTTGGCGTCTCCACCGTGGCTACGGCATATGTATCTCAGAAAAACACCGTTCAGGCCAGCTATTCTGCCCAAAGCAGCACCTTCGGAAAAGGGGGACGAAGAGGCGGTGCTGGTGAGTTGGCCCTGTCGTTCCGCCGCCAGCTTGATGCCTACATGAACGCTGAGGCAACCGCATACGTCCCCTTGGAGCGCGGCCGCACAGTCAACTTTGGCTTCAAGGCTTTCCGTGCGCTTTCCCAACACATGACCGCCTCGTTTGAGGCGAGCTATGACCCCGAGCGAAGAGGTCTGACCACAGCACTGACCAGCGCTCGCTCATTTGACGAGCGGTGTACGGCGAGTACCTCATGGGCGTTTGGTGCAGCTCCGGGCTATGTCTTCACATGGAAGCGAGATGCGTACGATGAGTATATGCCCGAAAGCAAGCCGAATGCTGCGAAAGGGGCAGATGATTTTGGAGCAAATGATGATGAAGAAGCGGGGGCGGCCGGGAGAATCGCGTGGGTATTTGAAAAGCTTACATATCTTATTGATCCGATGGGATGGCGATGGACTGGTAGACTCAGCGCTTTGGAAGCGTCCCTTGGCTTCGTTATTCGCAGGCCGATTGGTCAGAATGCTCCGCTATGGGATAAATGCGAGCCTACAGGCCCTGGTGGAGCTAGTGTCAAGGTTCGCGGTCACGTGGGAGCGATGGGATGGGAGGTTGAGGTTGGAGGCGGCGAAAAGTACTTGCTTTCCGACACGGCATGGGGGACGTCGGTGGCATTTGGCAACATGGGAGTTGTTTGGAGACTGAAAATTACTCGATCGGGCCATCGATTCACTTTGCCGATAGTGCTTGTGTCATCGGTGTGCGATGCGCGAACGGCCACGGCAGCCGCGATCGTAACGTCGCTGGGAGTTTCAGCTGTACAAATTTTGATCATCGACCCATGGCACAAGAAGAGGGAGAGCGAGGAGAGAGAGGATGCGAAAATGAGAAGGGCTGACACTCTGAAGCACGGGAAGAGTGAAGCCGCGGCGGCTTTGATACTGATGAAGGAAGGTATCGAGCGGTCGCGGAAACGGGAGGAAGAGGTAGAAATTGATGGGATTAGTGGATGTGGATTGCTTATCGAGCGGGCGGCGTATGGGGATGCAAAGGCAGTACAGGAAATGAGATTTTCCTCGGACAGTCTTGATGGAAGAGAGATAGAGATGGAGATTGCGGATGTGACAGATTGTGTGCAGATGCTTGTGGAAGACAGCGCTGTGCAAGTGGTGTCGGGAACCAAGTCAACATTGATGGGGTTCTGGGATCCGAGTGCGTACGGCGAGAAGGAGGATCTGGTTCTTCGTATCTGGTATCGATTCCGTGGGGAGCTGCACGAATGCGTGGTGCGTGATGACGAGGCGATCGAGCTGCCACTCTCTTCGCACCGCGTGGATAGGTGGCGATAGAATTTTGGGATTGACAGGTAGCGCAACGAAAGTTTGGGAGAGTAGTGGGGTTGCCTGTGATGAATGCGGGTTAGAAGGGCGGATGTGCCGATGTGCTGTCAGAGACAGGAGATTGTGGAGGGATACCACGTTTCCGTTGTCTCTTACGTACAGTGGTATGTTGCTGGATAGTAGACAAGTTTTTATTCGGTATCGTAATCGAGATGTGGCCCACGGCGGGGAATTGTACAGGACTATAAACGAAAGAGCGTTGCAAGAGAGATGGGCGATGTGCTTATGCCTGATCGGAAACTATAAACCAGGCGATAGAGAAGCTGTAACGGATGACGCTGACTCAAGTGATGAGGTACCAAGGGTAAGATACCGTAGCTATGAGTCAGGTTTACCTTACGAGTGAATCATGGAACATGATGCCTGGGGGTCCCCTTTCACGGTGTATGCATCGATTTGGCCGCCCAAAGGTCTACTACGGGGAGATCAGTGTGGCGTAGGTCGATATCGTCGAGAACTTTACAGTAGAGAAGGAGACGGAGCCCCCTGCGTGACGACTCGATGTAAAATGTAAAAAAAAAAAAAAAAAAAGTCACGAGTTTCGAAAGTGTTTCCTGAAAAGAAAAAAGTTTCTACGCTACGTGCATTACACACAGCTGCGTGCTGTGAAGTCTCGTGATCACCTCTCCTTCCCTTTTCCCTTTTACGGGTCCTAATAAAACTCTAATGGGCCAGCGCCGTCGCATCCGCTGGCGTTGTCAGTCGTGTCCACCTGTCCAGCTGGACAGGTTGCGTCATGATACGTGCGATGCGATGCGCCACGCGCCGTACTCCGTTGTGCATCTCCCGCTTTCTTGCGTTTCACCACGCACATCGGCAGCGCGCAAACTGATATCCTCGCAATCGGCCCACACGCACGCACCCCTTTGCCGACCTCCTCGTCCGTCCTCCTCGTCCGTCCTCTACCACGACTATTCCGGGGGGCGGACGCTCGCGCCCTGGAAGTACATGTATGCGCTTCCTCGCCATCTGTCTCGTTCTCTTCATCCCCTCCGCATCCTCCGTCGCACGTGTCGCCGCACCGCATTCCAACCTCACCGGCCGCCCTCCCCCGCCCCCTTTCATCCCGCCCGCCACCTCCGCCCCACCAAACCCCCGCCAACCGCCCCCTGACTTCCTATCATTACACTCCACACTTCACCCAATCACACCTTCCGCCTCCTACGCATCCCGCCGCCGCGCCTTCCAGCCCACCCTTCTGGAACACACCGCCGCGCTCCCGCTCTTCTCCATCCTCACGCACCGCCTCCAACCGGCCCGCACCCCCAATGCCACCGATGCGAGCGCCGCGCCCAGGGGGCTGACGTTGGACGCGTGCGCCACCCCGTCCGCGTGCGCCGCCATGCGCCGCTGCCTGGACATCTCCTCCTTCCCGTCCTCCACTCTCTGCTCCGCGCACCCCGAGTGCTTCTGCCTCCCGCCGGAGCCGCAGCCGTGCGCGAGCACCGCGCAGTGCGTCCCCGGCGAGGTGTGCGTCATGCTGCCCGACTTCCCCACCTCCTTCTGCGTTTCCGCCGCCGTCGAGCGCCACGCCCCGGCCTTCACGGAGATCCCCGCCGACCATCCGCACGCCCTCCCGGACACCGCCCTCTCCGGCCTCACGTTCGACTATTGCCAGGAGCAGCGCCACTGCGCCGGCGACAGGGACTGCACATTCTTCGACGGCATCGACTCGATGAGCGAGCCGTGCGAAGGGCGCGACCCGTGCATTTGCCTCCCGCCTTCGCTGAGATCTTGTTATACTGTTCACGACTGCCCCAAGGGGGAGATCTGTGTCACGTACCCGTCCCGCGAAATCCAGAACGTCTGCCTGTCTGCAAGCACTGCCACCGCCTTCCCTGACGTTTTTCTGGCGCCGTCCCCGACCCCGGGCACCACCACGGCTAACGCTTCAGGGAGGCTCACATTGGAGAAATGCATGTTGTCCACGGAATGTGTAGGTACACGAGAATGCTATCGATCGCCTCCTAGCGCTCGCATTCCTTGTCCAAGCACGCTGTATCCCAATTGCAGATGCTTTCCAATTCAGTTAGAGTTGTGCTCAGATTCCGGTCCCTGTGAAACGGGAGAGGTCTGTGCGATTGAAAGGGACACAAGTGCCTCGATCTGTGTATCGCAGAATGCCATAGAGAAAGAACCCGACCTTATTGTTCCTAAGCCGTTGTAGGATGCCAGTGGAGCTGTCGGTGGCTCGCCTTAACAACCATCGACCTCAAGCATCCGTTACCCGAGGCTGGCGACGGAAGTGAACAGACTCCGGGAGCAGGCGCCCCCGGTTTAGAGATTGATTCAACTTCATCAAGGTCCAGATCTGCGACATCCTCAATAGAGGGTGCATGCATGCATCGATGCAACGGCCTTCAGCCATCTCCTTCAAACGGACGTTGTGTCCGCCAAGACGGCATGAACGAGAGCACTGTGTGATTCGAATGACAATTTTGCGACGAAAGGACACATAGTGTTGCATCGTTGGAGGACCATGATGATGAGGACGAATTGCAAGCATGTACACTGCGCCGAAAGATGTATGTTTGTGAAAAGTCCCGAGAAATAAACGTGGGGTGAGCATACCACCGAAATCGAAGGAGGCCAAATTCACCTCGCGGCAAAACATTCGTCCGTCATGGAAGAGACCGTGCTGTCTATTGCAATCAGATTAGGAATGTAAATGAAAACTACTAGCGGTTAAGCCGCGGATAGGTCTACAAAATTGTACATTGAAACCCTGCGATATTTGGCAATCACATTTCGTGACGCGCCACGAGGAAAGACGAAACTACGTCTTGCCTTGGCCTGCAGAAACCCCCGCTTGCGTTTTTTATCTCGAGTTTCGCGCAACGTTGCTCCTTAACTCCAGACTGATTGAATTAACCTTTCAGACCCTGACTCGCAAGAAACTGATGCCATTTGATGATCATGAGGGCCTCTGAAAAGAAAGCCCTTTACAGGGAGAAAAGGTCAGAAACCGGAGTGGTCGGTGTTTGAGCAGGTGTGCTATCACCCACGCATTTGTTCATTTCCTCTTCATTCATCCTGCCTTCTGCATTTCCTTCTACTGCATACGTCAAGACCGCCTCTTCATGAGCTGACGAGACCAGGCGCTGTCAAGCAATAAACGAAAACCCGACAGGACGTGAAATAAAGAAAGGCGGTAGATTTACATCCGAGCACAACAAATGTTGCGGATAAGCTTCGTATGCTGCGCCTTACGTGATTACTGCACACTCAATTGTTTCAATCCCATGCACAGCTCCTCACAGGGACATTACTTTTTCGCGCTTCTCCATATTTGCAATGCATATTTATGATTCCTCCCTGTATGTCGTGAGTTGCACGAAATAAGAGGAAAGCTCACAGTTCAGTTTGAAACACCATCGTGTCACAGATGAGTGGAGATGCCGCAGTGCCTCGCCTTGTTGCTGCACTTTAAGCAATTCACACAGTAGAGCTCCTCTTCTGTATGCATTGCTTAAAATGCAGCGGGTCAACTTCAGTCATGTGCGTAGCACAACTTTGATGGTATGGCATACTGTACCGTTCGGTACAGTACTGTATGCCATACCATCAAAGTTCGGGTCGGTACAGTAGGAGTTGCCGAGATTCTTATCTGTTCTGAGAAGTGGTAAGATTGGTGAGAAACGATATACACGTGTACACATACAGTACTCCTCATACTACTCCAACTGTGATTTGCTTTCCCTCAAGTTGGTTTGGATGTGAGGTCAACACCTGACCGTACCCAAGGGTACAGTACCGTATGAGGCAAATCACTTGTCGTGTAGGCAATACAGTTGACACTCTAGACTGCGTGTTACCTATGTAACCGTTACGGTTACATACAGTATCTTCACTAGGTTACATTTGCAGACTTCGTACAGCACTAAGATAGCTAGCATGGCACTGCTCCGCTTCCCATCAGACGTCATCGTTGATGTAACCCTGCTTAACATTTTTTCATCGGCAAGCCGTAGTTTTCCCCCTAGGAGCTCATCTATCTGGTTGAAGAGCTCGATACGGGTGGAGTGGTTCCCGTTGTGGTTGTGCAAGGTTGCACATTGGTTCATATTCGCATGAATAGAAAGACAATAGATGTTTCCTTGTAGTTTTCTCGAAAGCGGCGTCTTCTGAAGAGGCCTTGATCCACAGTCCAGGAGGTACTGTACGCTCGGGTACAGTAAAGAAGTGATGAAATATTCCCCTCGCACCATCCAGATCTGTGGCAATGCAGTATTATACTGTAGTCCATTTAAAGGGGAAATGCATCTAATGCACTTTACAGCATGGTGAGGCTCTTCGCAAGGATTGTCCGAAGTCAGAACATCCTCTGCATAATTAGTGGCATTTTAATTAAAGTCTTTCAAGACAATCCTCCAAGGTCCATTCCATCGAGGAGCACACGTCAACAAAAAAGGATTTCTTTCAGCATCCCGTGTAAACGGCATCTTTACAGAAGATACATACATGACCATGTACAACGGGGGGTCACGATTTAGTGCCCTCCTTAATAGTGTTTCTCTCGGTTTAGTGCTACACAAACCCGGTTGTCACGGTTATCATAGCACGGCACGTGTACGTCCTATATTGGGTGGAGCCCAATGGGACGCCTTCAGCCCTTCATGAAAGCTTCCTGTCATAGTGCCACACCCTCAATAGTGCAAAACTTTGCGTTGTAGCACGCCCTAGCACTAAATCGTGTACTGGACTGTACCGCATTCTCAAGCCACAGCGGTTCAATGGCTTTGGGTCACACTCGAAAGGACCCTAATACGAGAAATAGCCATCACACTTGCGTTTTGCGCGAATAAGGCATCTCTTATGGCAAGATTTGGTAGAGCATGCGATGTGTAGCGATGTATGCGATGGCGCCTTTTATCGAGGTTTGAGCAAACATGCAAGTAGTCGCAGCACGCTGCGCCTATCAAACAGTATTTCCATGCCAAAACGAGAGGCATCTACTTAATTCGAGTAGATGTACCCCCTCCGTGACCACGTGACATAATGTGATATGATACGAAGATGGACATCCATGTCAACCAGAGATTTTTGGGTTTTTTACAATGCATGCAAGTATGGTGAGATTGAGCTTTGCAGGAGGTTCTTTTATGCTCATGCGCGCTTACGATCGGAGTTTCATTGGTAGTAATAGCTAAGCAGTCACACAATACATTCGATGCTAAACAGCTTACAATAGGGATATTGAGTCTTAAAACACACTATATTGCCCAGTGACAGGATTTTGCTTCTCAGGCATTAACCCATCAGAATTGACAGACGATCAACCCTTTACAACTTAAACCGGATTTCCGGCGGCCAGAGAACCCATGGGTGCAATTTACAATTCTCAGAGTCAGCCCCTTTTGTCCAACTCTCCCCGCCACCGGCTCTCGTCGTCCACTGGCATTCCTCTTTTTGTGACTGTAACTCTTTCCGTTTCCCGCCATGACCCACCTCCATTCTATCGCCTGCTTTGTCTTCCTCGTAGCCACTGCAGCCTCGTTCCCTCTCTCTCACAACAGCCGGTTGCAAACTGCGAGACGTGCGACTTCTGACGCACCAGCAACAGTTAGGGGAGCGCTGCGAAAGGGAGTCACCTTCGACCTATGTAAAAAATTGGAAGACTGCGAGGACCCACGGAAATGCTGGGATCTTTTCGGGGAACTAGACGATCCAAGAAGCCGATTACCATGCACGACGAAGGCAAGCAGTTGCGTCTGTCTTCCAGAAGAACTACAGAAATGTAAGGAGAACGCCGATTGCGAAGACAGTCGAGAAATATGCATACAACTGCAGCAGCAAACTGGGATCTTTTATTGCGCTTCGCGTGTGGCATCAGCATCCAAAGATATCAAAACCGTTGCACCCAGACCAGACGATGAAAAGCGTCCGGGGAACGCTGCCGCCGGGAAAACAATGCAGATCTGTTCAGAAGATTTCGAGTGCAAGGGAAATCGTAAATGTATCTTGGCTAGACGCGATTTTATCAAGGTGCCCAAGGAATGCACGAACGCAGAGAGAGAGAAATTTAAATGTATCTGCCTTCCAGACGAAATACAAACTTGCACTCTGAACGCGGATTGTGAGGCTGGAGAGGTGTGTGCTCACTTGAACTGGGACTGGCTCGATTATGTCCTTTGTGTCTCTGCAGACATGGAACCTTGGGACGCTATTATGTCAGTGTCTGATGACATTCCTCGGCGACCAATCAAGCCGAATGCATCGGGAGGACCGGAGCCCTCTGCTAAACCTACTCGGACTCTTGATGACACATCAAGTCCCGGTGAGGAGGAAATCATTGGAGTAGCCGAAACTGATATACCAGAACCGTCTGCCCTTACGGATGCAATCCCGTCAGAAACAGTAACTATGGAAATGAGACCGTCGGATGACGCCGATGGCGGTTTTGGGCCCACGTCCCAACCAGAAACCGTGTCTGCATCTCCAGAAACCGTGTCTGCATCTCCAGAAACCGTGTCTGCATCTCCAGAAACCGTGTCTGCATCTCCAGAAACCGTGTCTGCATCTCCAGAAACCGTGTCTGCATCTCCAGAAACCGTGTCTGCATCTCCAGAAACCGTATCCGCTTCTCCAGAAAGTGTGCTTGCTTCCCCAGAAGGCGAAACCGAGTCTGAGGCCCCGTCTGAGACAGAGGATCCCATATGTGTAGATGCTGGCGCCCTGTCTCATTTTGGTGCAGGTGAACTTGTGTTTGGGAAGCACTCCACTGCTCGCGTGTTGTGCGATTCGCAAGGCAGTTGTGCGACCGAAGGCCACATGGTGGTATTTAAGAGCAGAGCCATGATGATGCGCTCTTATTGTTTGGTCGTCAAGTGTTCTGAAAGAACAATTGAAGTTAACAGTCCGAAATATCGACGCGGGTTGCGGATTCCGTCCAAGACCGAGGGCTTGCACTTCACATCTTTCGCAGCCCGCTACTCTACGAAGGTAGAAGAAATGGCAATTCATATCGCAATTCGCGCTGGTCTGTAGTATTTAATCTAGGTGGTTTGGGACTGTAACCATGTTGTTTTACTCGGAGAGAAACAGTGAAAGCACTGCTCGCCCTGCTCTCTTATTTCATTCTTTGGGTTCCTTTCTCAAGGAGCAGGTCGAATTGAATTTAGAAAGGATGGAAGATCAAGAATTCCAGCTGATGATTTTTTTATTCATTTTGCAAGTCAAGCTAGGGCTGGTTAGAGCGCACCTCTGTCGGAGCTATTCCGGATGGGCAATTGTGCTATGAGCATAAAGACTGCACTGACGCTAAACTAGTAGTTTTTAGATCTGACAAAGGCCTTTTCTGAGACTAGATGGAGGTCCCCATCTTAATGCTCCAGTGCGCTTCTTTACGTATGGCCTCTTTGCTCGCTGGCGGATGGCATGCGATTCGTCTGCGATGGAACTCCAGTGATGTATATATTGCAATATCCGTCATACTCGCATATCATTTTCTCGCACTTTACTAGACATGTCATGACCGCAACAGCACGTAGGATAGGCTCCCATTGCAGACAAGAGCGGTTAAGTTGATCGAATCCTGAATTGCTCGTCTCTTTGCTAGAGACTCTAGGAAACGTCATCGGAGGTAACTTCCGCTAAAATGTAGCGGCAGAACGCGAGGTGGACGAACTGACCTGGTGTGACAAAATAAGCGAGGGTCTGTTGCCTCGTATTGGCTTCTCTACACCTCTGCAGTGAGACGGGTGAAATTGAGATAGCAAGAGTTTTTGAAATGGACGGAATCTGAAATACGAGTTGCCATGCCGCTAATAGGGTGCACACAAGCCGATGCTTGCGTCCAATGAAGGCAACGTAGGAACTCATCCTGTGTGATAGAAAATATTTACGCAGACATACGAATTTGTGAACAAGATGTAAACTACCCCGCATGAAACAAAAGACAAGACCTCGAAAGCAAATCCCCATCCTGTGCTTCAATGTTAGATACCTACGGCAAATAAGGCAGTCCGAAAATGACTGCTGTGTGCCAGTGGGAGCGAAAGCCATTTTGTTCCAGACCAAAACGCTCCGGGCACAGCAGTGGTCTCGAAGATGTGTAGAGGTTGTTTGCCTCTGGCATGCCGATACTTCTGAGCGAGACTCTATACAACACGGGCCAGGGTGATTCTATAAACCAGCTCGAACAGCGAAAGCAAGCACTGCCTCCTCAACTCTGGTGTTGTACCTGGCTGCGAAAGCATGAAAGCGGAGACCTTCTGTGCTCGAGTCAACTTGCAGTCCACGCGAGTAGCGGGGGCTGTTAACCTGCATGACACGCTCAACACATTTGACGAGAATGCAGTATGTCTTCATCCTCATGGCACGGCCATTGAAGTTCACCATGTGACCGGCGGTCGCACAGCTTCCCATGTCATCGCACAGGACGTTTGCCCATTTATGGTTCTTGAAGACGAGGTCTTTCTTGCTGAGATGGCTGAGGGCCCTAGCGTCGATGCAGATCTCATCGTCTTCAGCATCTTCCAAAGTTGCGCTTGGCAAGGGCTCGGCCGTCGCACCACTTTCTGTATCGGTATTCTCATCAGAGTCTCCTGTTGTGTCACCTTCATCGCTGCTCTCTGGCATTGTGCCCGTAGGCGAATCACTGCCATCGCCCGTCATGTCATCGTCTTCACCGTTACCATCGGTGTCACTGTCATCACCACCTCCACTACTGGTATCATCATCTCCGTTACTGTCGCTGTCTCCATCGTTGTCATTGCCACCTTCACTATCGTCGTCTTCATCATCATCATCGCCACCAGTATTACCACTCCCAGCGCCATCACTCGTCGCAGGAAGCGGCGTAGGATCCTTAGTGACCTGCACCTCAACGTCGCCACTTTCGGCGGTATTCCTCGAGATGCAAATCTGCGGCTTGCCATCGACGGCAGTCAAAGCGGCGCAGACCTCTCCCTTAACGCAATCGGCCCTGGAGCTGCACTGCGCGGGGACCTCCCTCGGCGAGCACACGCAGTCCTCCCCCGTGGCACAGAACTCCTCCTCGCCCGTGAGCAGCTTGGACCGCTCCTTGCACCAGCGGGAGCCCTTGCAATCCTCCTTGCGCACGCATTTGTCGAGCGTGAGGCCGCCGCGCGAGACGATCTGCCTGGCGACGGCGCGCGCGCTTGCGGCGCGGCGCAGGTAGGCGGCGACGCGGGCGCGCACGGGGGACGGCGGGGCGCGGCGGAGGCGGGCGGGGCGGCGCTGCGCAGCGGAGGCACGCGCGGCGACGCGATGCGAGACGCGCTTCGTCTCCGGCACGGAGGCCGGGCGGCGGTGGAGGCGGAGCGCGACGTGCGCAAACTCGGCGAGCGCGGCGCTGGAGAGGCGGGCGCGCGGCGGGTGGGAGGCGGGTTGTGGCGGCTCGAAGAAGGCTGGGTGCGGCGGCGGGGCGACGGTGGGGCGCGGGGC